CTTATCCTCCCACTACAGGCGTGTGCCACCATGCCCAGCTAATTTTTTTTTTTTCTTTTTTTTTTTTTTTTAGCAGAGTTTCGCTCTTGTTGCCCAGGCTGGAGTGCAATGGCGCGATCTTGGTTCACTGTAGTCTCCACCTCCCGGGTTCAAGCAGTTCTGCCTCAGCATCCCAAGTAGCTGGGCTTACAGGCACCCGCCACCACGCCTGGCTGATTTTTGTATTTTTAGTATAGACAGGGTTTCACCACGTTGGCCAGGCTGTTTGCGAACTCCTGACCTCAGATGATCCGCCCACCTTGGCCTCCCAAAGTACAGGGATTACAGGCTTGAGCCATCATGCCCAGCCAGTTTGTAGTATTTTTAACCATGGAAATTCAACTTTTTATATGCTTATTTTCTAACCTCCTTGGTTGGTATATGTTTCATAAGGGTCAGGTCTGCATCTTATTCATCATTATAAATAATGATTCTACCTTATCTAGCGTGGTGCCTTTTATAGATGATCAGTAAATAATAGTTTAGTCCTCCTGAAGCTGTAGGTAAAAAACCTCTCCTCCCTTCAGTCATTTTATAAAAGTTGAATAAGTTGAAAGTGACCAATCACAGGAGTGTCAGCAGTGAACAAACAACAACAAAAAACCCCCACATTTTCCACTTACTTATTTTAATCGGTGACGTTGAATTACAAGTCCTTGTAATGATCAGGAAGATGTTTAACAAGCTAAGTTAACCACTGCATATTTAATGGGCAAGTGATGTTCGAATTTCTTGATGTGACTTTAAACTCTAAAGAAGTCCTCATGCAAAAAGAAATCATAACCAGTTAAGAAAACTAAAAGAACTTTCTTAAGCTAATCATGATCCTCTTTAAGTATATAAACTATCAAACTATTAGCTAATCATAGAAGGGAAAGGACTTTTCCCCCATCACCCCTCCCCTTTCTATTAGAGTGAATCAGATATAATCATGATTGTGTCAAAAGTTCAAAAGGGAAAATGGAAGGTAAAATGAGCTGAATTGGCACTCTTCTCTCAACATTGTACCTGTAAGCTTGATATGTTGTTTCAGAGATTAACTTTATAGACTTCCGTACCCAGAAGTATGAAAATTCTTAGGGGACTCTTTTCACAGGCTTGATCTTAACGTATTTGAATAAAGAGAGCAGTTAATCCCCTTTGTAAAGTAATTTGAGAGGAGGGAATTCAGAATGTAAAATCTCACCTGCAGAAAACACTCAGCTCTGTAAAGACCTTTTTATCTTTAAGACACTTACAAAGACTTAATATTTTAATGCGGAAGGGTGAACTTGGTTAAAAAGCCAATAGGTGAAATTAGAGAGAAATAATCCAGTGCTTTCTTTCTGGGAATTATTCTACTCTCCAGGGGACCTAATTTTATTCCCTGTGGGGAATGAGAATACCCTCTGTACAACAAGCCAGCATCTTTAAATATAAGCTTGACTTTTAGTATAATAAGAGTCTTGTTAGGTGCAATTATTTCCTTAGTCATTAATACAATGAACAAATGTTGTGGTTACCTGGGAAAGAAAATTCAAGTGCTTTTAAATCTCTTGTGAGATTTGGTTTCATGCTTGAAACCTATACACTGTTATGCCCAATAGCATCTGTTGAGAATTCTAAGCTATAAGGTATACAACATAGAGAAGTTAATACACTTAGGAAAAAATTGAGACCACTACAAAATGGATGTAAGGTCCTTAATAAAAAGCTTTTATTGTGTTGAGTGACAGCTATTTACCAGTGGCATTAAGCTTAACAAATAGGTAGAACTTTCTTAGGAGTTAATATTACAAGATGATGTCCCTGTCACTTAACTTTTTTCTTCCAGTTTTAAAACACTTTGCAGTTCTATGCAAATTCTGTGCTAATTAATTCAAGGTCTGAATTAACAGACAGAATATAATCTAAGAGAATATATAGTGTTGAGTAGTATTTTTGGTAGAATATGGCATTAGTTATTGTGTTAAGTCATTTCTGTCACCTACAAACTCTGTGATATTTTGCACATTTTAAAATCTTTTTGGCTGGGCACGGTGGCTCATGCCTATAATCCCAGCTCTTTGGGAGTCCAATACAGGTGGATTCCTTGTACTCAGGAGTTCAAGACCAGCCTGAGCAACATGGTGAAACCCTGTCTCTACCAAAAGTACAAAAATTAGCCAGGTGTGATGGCATGTGCCTGTAGGCTGAGCTACCCAGGGGATTGAGGTGGGAGAAATCACTTGACCCTGCTGTGATCATGCCGCTGCTCTCCAGCCTGGGTTAGAGTGAGATCCTGTCTCAAATAAAATAAAATCTATCTTCCTTTTTTTTTTTTTTTTTTTGAGAGAGGGTCTCGTTCATTGCCCATGCTGGAGTGCAGTGGTACAATCACAGTTCACTACAGTCCTGAACTCCTGGGTTCAAGAGATCCTCCTACCTCAGCCTCCCAAGTAGTTAGGACCACAGGCACATGCCACCATGCCCAGTAAATTTATTTTATTTTTTGTATAGATGGAATCTTTTTATGTTTCCCAGGCTGGTAACTCTTGGCGTCAAGCAGTCCTCCCACCTCAGCCTCCCAGAGCACTAGGATTACAGGCATGAGCCACCGTGCCAGGCCTGAAATCTCTTCTTAATTATAAAATACTGGTCTCATACCACTCCTAATAGTCTTTAGTGTCTTTAGTCATAAACCATTTTTTATTGGATTTGGTAACATCTTTTTTTTTTTTTTTGAGTCAGAGTCTTGCTGTCGCTCGGGCTGGAGTGCAGTGGAGCGATCTTTGGCTCACTGCCACCTCCACCTCCCGGGTTCAAGCAGTTCTCCTGCCTCAGCCTCCCAAGTAGCTGGGATTACAGGCGCCCGCCACCATGCCCAGCTAAGTTTTATATTTTTAGCGGAGACGGGGTTTCACCGTATTGGTCAGGCTATTGGTCAGGCTGATCTCTTGCTGGTCTCGAACTCCTAACCTCATGATCCTCCCACCTCGGCCTCCCAAACAGCTGGGATTACAGACGTGAGCCACCCCGCCAGGCCTAGCATATTTTTTCTTTAAAAGGAATCCAGTAAAAGATAATCGAAATCTTTCTTGTTACTTTTTTTTAAATTTAGAAGTTGACTGAAGTGGCAACAAGTAGCCTTTGCAATCTTATAAAGAACAAAGTCTCCAGAAATTTTCTTACATTCTGGTGTAACTTCCAAGTACTGGGTGTTATGTTTTCGGTTCTTGCCCTCGCTTTTAAAGCTCTGGGTTTATGAGCTTGGTCTACTGAGTACGATTTAATTTCCTACTAGTGGTAAGACCACAGACACTGTATGCAGCACTTTCCCTGCTGTTTTTGGCATTTTTTAGGTGGCCGTTAAGAATAATGTTTTATTTAGGTCTTTTTTTATGCAAGATCTAATCTAGTCCTCTTAACAAAATATTTCGTTTTCATTTAAAAGTAGCTAAGTGGACGGGTTACCGTGGCTCACGCCTGTAATCCCAGCACTTTGGGAGGCTGAGGTGGGTGGATCATGAGGCCAGGAGATGGAGACCATCCTGGCTAACACGGCGAAACCCGTCTCCACTAAAAATACAAAAAATTAGCCGGGCGTGGCGGCTGAGCCTGTAGTCCCACCTACTTGGGAGGCTGAGGCAGGAGAATGGCATGACCCTAGGCTGCGGAACTTGCAGTGAGCCGAGATCGTGCCACTGCACTCCAGCCTGGGCAACAGAGCAGACTCTGTCTCAAAAAATAAAATAAAGTAAAGTGAGCCAGCACAGTGGTATGACCCTGCAGTCCCAGCTACCTGGGAGGCCAAGGCGAGAGGATTGCTTGAGCCTAGGAGTTTAAATCCAGCCTGGGCAATGCAGTGAGACCCTCTCTCTGGGAGAAGAAAAAGAATTTCTACATCAATGGGCAGTGATAGGCATTGAGACATAAGTTGGGGTTTTGCTATAATGAATGAGCACCAAGAAAATTAAATTTTAAAATTGAAAAGGTTAGTTGTATTTCCCCTATGAGGACTGTTTGCTGAGGTACTAGCTAGAAGAATAGTCAAGAGCTAACCTTTTTTCACCCCTGCTTAGTTGACATTTTTAAAGCTCACCAAAATAATAAGAAAATGACCTACATTTATGCAGATAGCCCCAGGCAGAATGACATCCAAAAGCATGCATGCAAAGGTACATTTAAAAGTTGTATTCTTGTGTAAATACTTTTAAAGAACTAGTGGGCCAGGCAGTGGCTCAGGCCTGTAAGCCTAGCACTCTGGGAGACTGAGGCGGCAGATCACGTGAGATCACGAGTTTGTGATCAGCCTGGCCAACATGGTGAAACCCCGCCTGTACTAAAAATACAAGAAAATTAGCCAGGCCTGGTGGCAGGTGCCTGTAATCCCAGCTACTTGGGAGGCTGAGGCAGGAGAATCACTTGAACCCAGGAGGCATAGGTTGCAGTGAGCCAAGATCGCATCTCTGCCTGGGCGACAGAGCGAGACTCTGTCTCAGAAAAAAAAAAGAACTAGCAAAGTTTTTTTTTGTTATGGGTAAAAGGTCATCTTAAAAACCTCATGATTTTGGCTGGGTGCGGTGGCTCATGCCTGTAATCCCAGCACTTTGGGAGGCCGAGGTGGGCAGATCACCTGAGGTCAGGAGTTCAAGACCAACCTGGACAACATAGTAAAACCCCATCTCTACAAAAATACAAAAATTAGCTGGGCATGATGGTGGGTGCCTGTAATCCCAGCTACTCGGGAGGCTGAGGTGGAGAAATCACTTGAACCTGGGAGGTGGAGGTTGCAGTGACCCGAGATCGTGCCATTGCTCTCCAGCCTAGGCAACAAAGCGAGATTCTGTCCCAAAAAAAAGAAAAAGAAAGTCATGATTTCTTTTGGTAAGGTAATCAGATTTGCCATATTATCAATTGGCAAGCCTAGATTCCCCCATTCCTCCATTTTTTTGACGTTTCCTTAATGTACTTCAATTTAGGAGTAACTTTTTTTGTTTCAGACAAATCTTCCTATTTTCAAGCTGAAAGAATCTACTGTTAGAAGAAGATACAGTGACTTTGAATGGCTGCGAAGTGAATTAGAAAGAGAGAGCAAGGTAAGAATGATTCGAAATGCGGTTTTAAAGCAAAACATTCCAAGTTTTAATGTTCAATATTTCTCAGGAAAATGATCTTGAATAAAATGGGTAAAAGCAAATGTGATTTCTTTTTTTCAAATAGTTCGATGTCATTTTATAGAGGTAGAGTCTTTGTAAATTTTCCTTAGAACTCTTTCTCTTGTCTACTTTGGCTCAGTTGAGATCTTTGCTGACTCACACTTGAATAACACTTCTTAGAATCTTCTTGCTATTACTTCCTTCCTTTCCCTCATCGTCCTATTCCATCTTCCCCTCTCCACACACTTAAGCCAGGTTTCTCTTTCTCAGTACATTTCATAAATGTCAGTGTATTTCCAATTTTGTTTTACTGACACATAAGTTTTTTTCATCACACATGTGTTCATGTAACAGAAGTTTCATAAAGCAGTAATGACCTCACTCTGTGTGATATATGTTGATACTCTTCAGATTAGCGTTTTTAAATGATGGCCGTGATCCACTAATGGGTTGCTGCCTGCAATTTAAAAACACTGTTACATGCCTGATCTTCTTAGAATAGAATTTGGTAGCTTTGGCTTCAACATAAGTTAAAGCAAGGTCTCACTCTGATGTCTCTCATTTCAGCCCTGCCTCAGAATGACATCAGAGGCAAGGAGTCATGGAAGGACATGGTATGCTCAGAATGATGAAAAGTTATTTTGTGACTAGAAAGTAGGTGAAAAGAAGTGGGTATGGTAGGAGTCCTGAACTAGATGAAGGCTAGTTTGTACTCATTTCTCAAGTTTAATTAGGGTTTTGGTTTTTTTTTTTTTCTGTTTCTAGCTTAAAAATGGCTGCATAAGAGCACAAAATATGCAGATAATAGCATTCCAACAAAAATATAAAGAAGGCCAAGCATGGTGGCTCATGCCTATAATCCCAGTACTTTGGTAGGCTGAGTCAGGAGGATCTCCTGAGCCCAGGAGTTCAAGACCAGCCTGGGCAACATTGTGAGTCACGCCCCATCTCTTCCAAAATGTTTAAATAGGAATAAAACTAGAAATACAAAATCCATGTTAAGAAAGCTCTAAAACTTTACCAAAAAAAATAAGACCTAAATAAAGAGGGACCAGGTGCAGTGGCTTACGCCTATAATCCCAGCACTTTGGGAGGCCAACGCCAATGGATCACTAACGCTCAGGAGTTCGAGACCAGCCTGGGCAACATGCGAAACCCCATCGCTACCAAAAATACAAAAATTAGCCAGGCATGGTGACATGCACCTGTAGTCCCAGCACTCAGGAGGCTGAGGCAAGAGGATCACTTGAGCCCAGGAGGCAGAGATTGAAGTGAGCTGTAGTCTCACAACTGCACTCCAGCATGGGCACCAGAGCCAGACCCTGTCTTAAAAAAAAAAAAAAAAAAAAAAGTGTGATACTGTATTCATTGTAATACTGTGTTCCTCGTTTGGAATATTTACTTTTGAAGATTTGTTTATTTTATGAACATTTTAGAGAGCTCGTTCTTTGTGTTCTAGGAGTTATGGGTAGAGCTATGAACAAATTAAGGTCCCCTCTTTTATGGTGCTTATATCTTATTAGGTAAATTGCGGCAGGGAGGGGGTTGTTGAAGAGAAGGCAGGAAAAATGTAGTAAAATATATAGATGTCATATGATGAGAAGCTCTAAAAAAAAATAAGACAAAGCTAAACTAAGGGAAGTAGGAAGTGCCAGGGGAGCCCCTCTCATATAGAGCGCAGGGAAGGCCTCGCTCTAGGTGACATTAGCAGAGACCTGCATGAAGTAGAGCAGTATCTTCTAACTTATTTATAAATTCATAAGATTCTAGTAGAAATTTCAGTAGGGGTGTTTATAAACTTGCAGATTTATATATGAGCTTTAGAATCAGTAAAAACTCAAGAATAACCAAAAAATATTTTCAGTATATAGTGGGCAGCAGGTGTTTGTTCTACCAGACATCAAAACGTATCTTAAAGCTATAGTAATTCAAACAATGTGGTGTAGTCATATGGCACTTAATGATGAGAATACATTTTAAGAAATGCATCCTTAGGTGATTTCATTGTTTGTGCAAACATCATATGAGTATACTCAGTTTGTGCAAACATCATATGAGTATACTCACACAAACGCAGGTGGTATAGCCTGCTACACACCTAGGCTATATGGTACAGCTTATTGCTCCTAGACTACAAGCCTATCCAACATGTTACTGTACTGAATACTACAGGCAGTTGTAACACAGTGGGAAGCATTTGTGCATCTAAACATAGAAAAGATATGGTAAAAAATACAGCGTGGAAGAATTTTTTTTTTTTTTTAAAGCACTGACAATTTTTTAAATGGTACACCTGTATAGGGCACTTACCATAAATGGAGCTTGCAGGATTGAAAGTTGTTCTGGGTGAGTCAGCGAGTACGTGGCAAGTGAATGTGAAGACCTAGGACATTCCTGTTTATTACTGCAGGCTTCATAAACACTGTACATTGAAATTTATAAAATATTTTTCTTCAATAATTAATCTTAGCTTAGTTTTTAAACTTTTTACTTTAACTCTTTGACTCTTGTAATTTAACACTTAGCTTAAAACACAAACGTATTGAACAACTGTACAAAAATATGTTCTTTGTATTCTTATTTTATAAGCTATTCTCTATTTAAAATTTTTTTAACTTTTTCTTAAAAATTAAGTCGCAAATATACATAGGAGCCTAGGCCTGCACACAATCAGGATCACCAAGACATTTCTAGGCAATAGGAATTTTTTACCTCCATTATAATCTTATGGCACAACCATTATTATCTTATGTGGTCCATCTCTGCTGGAAACTGTTATGCAGTGTATATTGCTTTAGGTTGGGCAGATAGATGAGTGGAATGTAATAGAGTTTAGACTTTGACCCATGTATTTATAGGGAATTTAGTTCATAACAAAAATAACATTGTCATTCAGTGGGAAAGGAATTCAGCAAATGGAGTTGAAATATTTGTCTATTAGGAAATAAAGATTTGTATCTCACTATATACAAATTACAGATGGTTAGGAGATTGATAGATTAATTGATTGACAGAGTCTTGCTCTGTTGCCCAAGCTGGAATGCAGTGGTGTGATCATAGCATACTATAACATCCTCCAACTCCTGGTCTCAAGTGATTGTCCTGCCTCAGCCTCCCAAGTAGCTGGGACTACAGGCATGAGCCACCATGTCCAGCTAATTTTTAGTATTTTGTTGTAAGAACGGGGTTTCACTATGTTGCCCAGGCTGGTCTCGAACTCCTGGCCTCAATCCTCCTGCCTTGGCCTCCCAAAGTGCTGGAATTACAGGCATGAGCCACCACACCTAGCTGAGAAGTGTCTTGATACATAGGCTTTGGGCTTTGCTTCACATACCATGTGGCACACTGGAAATGTTTAATAAACTTTTGCTTAATAGTATATTTTGCTTTTTTAAATTATTATTATTTTTATTTTTAGTAGAGATGGGGTTTCACCATGTTAGCAAGACGGTCTCGATCTCCTGGCCTCGTGATCTGCCCACCTTGGCCTCCCAAAGTGCTGGGATTACAGGCGTGAGCTACCCCGCCCGGCCGCTTTTGTTTTTAGTAACAGCTTTATTGAGATATAATTCACATACCATGCTCTTCACCCATTTGAAGTGTATAATTCACTGGTTGTTAATATGTTCGCAGAGTTGTGCAACCATCACTATTTTAGAGCACTAGTCAATTTCAGAGCATTTTTATCACCCATTAAAAGAAACCCTGTCCCCATTAGTAGTCACTACTGATTTTTCCCCAACCCTTCCTCACTCAGCCTGAGACAACCACCTGCTAGTCTCCTTTCTCTGTGGATTTGCCCATTCTGGACATACATAAATGGAAGCCCAGAATATGTGATCTTTTGGGTCTGGCTTCTTTCACTTAACATGTTTTCACAGTTCATGCTTTTCTAACATGCATCAGTACTTCATTTTGTTTTATTCCTAAATAATATCCTATTGTATGCTTATACCACATTTTATTTATCCACTTATTTGATGGACATTTGGTTCTACTTTTTGGCTGTTTTTAGTAGTGCTGCTGTGAACGTTTATGCATAGGTTTCTGTCTACATGTGTTTTCATTTCTTTTCAGTATATACCTACCAGTACATTGCTGGGTCATATCATAACTCTTTTTAACCTTTCGAGGAATTGGCAGACTGTTTTTCCAAAGCAGCTGCATGATTTTAACATTCTTACAAGCAATGTGAAGTTCTACTTTTCTCCACATCCCTACTAATTAATTGCCTGTCTTCTTTATTATATTGCCTGTCTTCTTTATTATAGCTATCCTACTGTTTGTGAAGGGGTACTGCATTGTGGTTTTGATTTTTATTTCTCTGATGGCCACTAATGTTGATTTTTTTTCATGTACTTACTGGCCGTTTATGTATCTTCTTTGGAGAAATCTTTATTGAGATCTTTTGCCTTTTTAAATGGGTTCATCTTTTTTATTATAGAGTTATGTCGAGAATATATAAGACTCTTAGAGTTCCCTATCAGATACATATTTTGCATGTATCTCCCAGTCTGTGGGTTGTTTTTCACTTTCTTGATGTTGTCTTTTGAAGCACAATACTTCACATTTAACATTAGACCAGTTAAATATATTGAGAGTTAAATCCATGTGAAAGTTGTACTCGTATTACAGTATTGGAAAGAACAATGTAATCAAGTTATTTTGTGGTATATTAGTACTTTTAACTAAGATCTGTTAAACTAAGCTAGAAATTAGCCGACATGTATTGTGGTCAGATCTTTTAGCTTTTATTCTAGTTTACTTTAGCTTTCAATATATTATGCTCACCAGATACTCTGTTTCTCACCCCACATGCATGCACAAAGCTTTGCATTCGTGACCTTTTAATTAGTATTAGATTTTTTCTTTTCTTTTTTTTTTTTTTGAGACGGAGTCTGGCTCTTGCCCAGGCTGGAGTACTGTGGTGCAATCCCGGCTTACTGCAGTCTCTGCCTCCCAGGCTCAAGCAATTCTCCTGCCTCAGCCTCCTGAGTAAAGGGGTTACAAGCATGCACCACCATGCCCAGCTAATTTTTTGTATATTTAGTAGACACAGGGTTTCACCATGTTGGCCAGGCTGATCTCGAACTTCTGACCTCAGGTGATCTGCCCACCTTGGTCTCCTGAAGTACTGGGATTACAGGTGTGAGCTACCGCACCCAACCTGGTGTTAGAATTTCAATTAGGTGTTTTCAGACTGCTTTAGCAAAAATAATTTGATGTAGAAGAGAATCTTAGCTGGATAAGCCATTTATGATTTTTATAGGTCATTAATCCTGTTGCCTACCACCTCACCATCCATTTGAATGACTAGTTTGAATATGTTAGGAAGAATGTATCTCTACAGAGGATAATATAGCAATCCTTTTCTTAAATTTCCCTTATATATGAAATTTATATATATTGAATTTTATATATATATTCTTAAATTTTTTTATCATTTTCCTTCTTTCTTTAACTGACATTCCTCGAGCCATACTTTTCTTAAGTTTCATGCTAAATTCTACCCTGAATTAATGATGGTCGTTTATTTAACACACTGGTTCTAGATTCTTTTTTTAAATAATAATTGTGTAGATACAGATATTTTTCCCTGCTCACCAGATAGCCATTCTACTGGAACTTAATGGTTAGCATTCCTTTGTTTCTCAGTTATAAAAGGTCCCTGCAGATTTTAACTCTTGGCTAAACAGATGCTAACATGGGAGTGAGATCTAAGAATGCTAGCATAAATTTACAGAGATAAATCCTTAGATATCTTCATCATTGGTCATCTGGGGAGAGTAAATCTAGGAAGGGATTATAAAGTTTATTTGGACGTTTCGTTTTTTGTTTTTATTTTGTTTTTTGTTAATCTACATGAAGTCGAGTTCTTTCCCTTTTTTACCCTATTGAATTTTGTTTGAGGATAAACTCCTTGGTGTAGAAACTGTATCAAGGGTTTAAAGTTTTAATTTTTTTGAATATGTGTAATTTTTATTATTAGTGAAAAGAAATATATATATGTATCAGTTTACTATCTATATTTCTCCTTGTTCTAATTGTTTGCTTACACATTTTTCTGTTTGGTTTTAAAGTAAGGATCCAGCTAAGTGGTTGGTCATTTAACAGATATTTGAGCTTCTCTTGTATGCCCAGTTTTTCTTAAAATAACCACAAGAAGCCTAAGACAGGGGTCTTGATTTGAAGACATTAGTATGATAGATTGGTGGTTTTCCACCAAAGACAGTTTTATCCCCCGGGAGACATTTGACACTGTCTAGAGACAGTTTTTATTGTCTCAGCGGGGGGTGCTATGATGTCTAGTGGGTAGAGGCTGGGGATACAACTAAAGAAAAGAATGCCAGTCTGGACAACATGGTGAAACACCATCTCCACAAAAAATAGAAAAATTAGCCAGGCATGGTGGCATGCTGTGTGCCTGTAGTGTCCCAGCTATTCAGGAGGCTGACGCAGGAGGATCACCTGAGTCTGGGGGAGGCTGCAGTGAGCCATGATTGCACCATGGAACTCCAGCCTGGGTGACAGAGCAAGACCCCATCTCAAGAAAGAAAATAATGCACAAGAAAGCTCCCCTGTACAAAAATTACCTGATTGTCAATAATGCTAGGATAGAGAAACCAAAGAAACCTGTGAAATAGCTAGGTGCTATTTAATCAAAACAAGTATTTTGAGCTCCAGAATAACATTTTTAAAAATTTATTTTTTTTTTTTAAGACGGGGTCTCGCTGTCACCTAGGCTGGAGTGCAGCAATGTGATTTTAGCTCACTGCAGTCCTGAACTCCTGTATTCAAGTGATCCTCCCACCTCTGCCTCCTAAGTAGCTGGGACTACAGGCTCACACCACCACTCCCCGCTAAGTTTTTTTTTATTTTTGTAGACATGTGTCCAGGCTTGTGTTACTCCTGGTCTCAAGCAATCCTCCCGCCTTCCTTGGCCTCCCAAGTGCAGGGATTGCAGACGTGAGCCACTGCACCTGGCCTATAATAATATTTGAGCTCCGGATAATTCCCAGAAGGGAGAGATCGCAGGAGTTGACCCTTGGTTAGGCTTTGAAGGGGAAAATTTGGGATCTTCCTATAGTGCGGGAAGGGAGAAATGACAGGTCTTTGGGAAAATACAGCAGGATAGGGCATTTGGGAGAAAGTTGACTTGTTTCTTAATTTAGGAAACAGAATAGTGACAACTAGAGTTATTGATATTTTGTCATCACCTCAAACACAAACAGGAAAGACTATAATGCAGACGGTAAGAGGTTGAAGAAACCAGAATTCTTTTTTTTTTTTTTTTGAGATGGAGTCTCGCTCTGTCGCCCAGGCTGGAGCGCACTAGCGTGATCTCTGCTCACTGCAAGCTCCGCCTCCCGGGTTCACACCATTCTCCTGCTTCAGCCTCCAGAGTAGCTGGGACTACAGGCGCCCGCCACCACGCCCGGCTAATTTTTTGTGTTTTTTAGTAGAGATGGGGTTTCACCATGTTAGCCAGGATGATCCTGACCTCATGATCTGCCCACCTTGGCCTCCCAAAGTTCTGGGATTACAGGCGTGAGCCACCGCGCCCGGCTGAAACCAGAATTCTTATCTAACCATGTTGCAGAGAGAACATTAACATTTCTTCATTTAATTGAGAGTTGATTTTGATCTCTGCAGTTTCTATTGCAAGAAGGCATTGCCTTCTCCAAGTGGCATCACAAGTGTCTGAGGGGCATGGTAACCTTTATTTCAGTATTGTGAGTGTTCTCTTTGTATACCTGTGATTCGATAAGGCCAAGAAAATTAATATAAGCTCTGGGCCCTGCCTTTGAGTTAGGAGCTTTTGTCTGATGGGCTATTCTGCATTTGTCTAAACATTTGGTCTTTTTTCAGTGTATTTTTTGCTCTTTTATATTTAAACTAGTTTGACCAGGTGATGGCTGCCATAGTGAGGACTTGCTTTGTGTTCATGCTGTGCTCTATACATTTTCACAACCAGTCATCATGATCAAGAACTTTCTGTCTTCATGTTTTAGGTCGTAGTTCCCCCACTCCCTGGGAAAGCGTTTTTGCGTCAGCTTCCTTTTAGAGGAGATGATGGAATATTTGATGACAATTTTATTGAGGAAAGAAAACAAGGGCTGGAGCAGTTTATAAACAAGTAAGTGCTTCCTATTCCTCGAAGTGTAGCAGTGAGGTATGTTTTGAGACTACTTTAAGTGACTACTTATAGTTTAGATGTTAAGCTAAACTGCACTGTTGCCTTTTAGCCATTTCCTAACTTTTCATATCATTTAAACAAAGTAAAAGTATCTGACAAGTTGAATATCATGTGATAAATATTAACACACTTGAGTGATTGAAATGAGCATCTTTGTGTTGACCTAAGTTTTGTATTTGTTTTTCTTGGTTAATTTATGCAAATTACATTTAAAATTACGGCATTTAAAAAATACAGTTTTACTTATGATTCTTTCTGATTTAAGGTATGTTCTAGCATGAACAATAAAACTTACAATATACTTGCAATCATCTTGTCTGATTGCAGATGGAGGTATTAGCATGTCTTGTATAAAGGTGCACATTTTTAATTTTCATGGTAAAATGTATTCTTTTAAAAATGTAAGAGGACTTAGGATTGTTTCTCTCTTACTTTAGAAACTCTTGATAAGCTCAAACCAATATTTTTAGCTTTTAATTTTATTCCCGTTTGAAATACAGCTATTTTGTAAAGTAATAGAAAGCCAAAGTGATAGAAAGATTTATGCCAAGAAAGACCTCACTGTAATTGTGCAATGGCCTTAAACTAGGAAAAGTAAATCAAATCCTACAGAACATGGTAATATGAGCTTACACTTTAAATTTTATCTAGTGATTTGAAGATGCATGAGTGGTAAACAGAAGAGAAAGGGTTACATAAAGCCCTTGGTTATCTACTGTAGCACTCAATCTTCATTGTCTGTAAACCTTTTTTTTTTTTTTTTTTTTTGACAAAGTCTTGCTCTGTCACCCAGGCTTTGGAGTGTAGCGGTGCAATCTCGGCTCACTGAAACCTCCACCTCCCAGGTTCAAGTGATTCTCATGCCTCAGCCACCTGAGTAGTTGGGATTATAGGTGCACACCATAGTGTCTGGCTTATTTTTGTGTTTTTAGTAGAGACAGGGGTTTGCCATATTGGCCAGGCTGGTCTCGAACTCCTGACCTCAAGTGATCTGCCTGCCTCAGTCTCCCACAGTGCTGGGATTACAAGCATGAGCCACCACGCCTGGCCTATATTAGATGTTTTTAAGTTGTAAGATAGGAGTCTGGTTGCCCAGTCTGGTTTTAAGCAGGCAAAAACAAAATGCCTGGATATTTGTGCCTGTTTTTTTAGTATTTGGGGCTTTTATTGAACTTCATTGTATTTCTAACTTCAATCCTGTATCTTCTCCTCTTTAAAATAGATTCTGGCCTGGTGCAGTGGATCACACCTGTAATCCCAGTACTTTGGGAGGCCGAGGTGCGCAGATCACTTGAGGTCAGGAGTTCCAAGGCCACATGGCAAAACCCCATCTCTACTAAAAATACAAAAATTAGTGGGGCGTGGTGGTGCACGCCGGTAGTCTCAGCTACTCAGGAGGCTGTGGCAGGAAAATCGCTTGAACCTGGCAGGTGGAGGTTGCAGTGAGCCGAGATCACGCTACTGCACTCCAGCCTGAGTGACAGAACAACACTTTATCTCAAAAAAAAAAAAAAAAAAAGGTTCTTACGATCAATTGACATGTTTCACTTTTAACATTAAAATTAAAGTTTCTTATGAGCACACCAGCTATATGTAAAGCTAATTGGATACATGTACCACAAGCAGTGAAAAATTTGTGATTAAATGTTTTCTAAATTAAGAGTTGTGAACCAAACAAAAGAACATATGGCATTAGTTGATAGTGCATAGCTTTATGGACAGTCCAGAATAATACTTATTAGTAAACTGTACATGCTTCTGGGCCAAGCACGGTGGCTCATGCCTGTAATCCCAGCACTTTGGGAGGCTGAGGTGGACAGATCACTTGAGGTCAGGGATTTGAGACCAGCCTGGCCAACATGGTGAAACCCCGTCTCTAGTAAAAATTAGCTGGGCATAGTGGCGCACGCCTGTAGTCCTAGATACTCAGAGGGCTGAGGCACAAAATCACTTGAACCCAGGAGATGGAGGTTGCCATGAGTCAAGATCAGGCACTGTACTCCAGCCTGGGCAACAGAGCAAGACACCATCTCAAAAAAAAAAAAAAAAATTATACATACTTCTTAACCTTAAAATACGTGTTTTGAACTCCCCCACCTTGTGTAAAATGTTGGACTAAATTTATATTTTTTATTCTTAGGGTCGCTGGTCATCCTCTGGCACAGAATGAACGTTGTCTTCACATGTTTTTACAAGATGAAATAATAGATAAAAGCTATACTCCATCTAAAATAAGACATGCCTGAAATTTGGCAAGAAGGGGCAAAAATGTGACTATTAATGATTGATAAGCACCAGTGAAGAAGTTCTAACTTTTAGCATGCTGCACAGAAACTGGTATAACATGCCTTCAGTATACTAACACTCATATGCTCAGTTTTGTTTTATTTTGGCAGTTGACAAGAAGTTAATTTGCTTTAGTGAAAATCCCTCATTCCAGCCTTTCTATATAAATAGCTCTTCTTGCTGTTTTAATGTGGTGCACACTGTAGCCTCACAAACCTGTTATTCCAATGTAATCTGCAGTGTCCTAACTAAAGTTACTGGCTTGGTCTTATTTGCACAGTTTTTGTGTCTTGTTTGCTTCTTGCATCTGATTAACTAGAATATTTCTCTTTCCCCCTTTTAATGTGTGATGTCACTTGACCCAATTTATGTGTAGGAGCACTACACCATTGGTTTCCAATACTGCACACATAAGATACATACTTGTGTGCAGAAAGTATCTTCCTTCAGGCTTGTAATACCCTTCACATGGAAGATTAATGAGGGAAATCTTTATATTCTGTATAAAAACAAAATCAAATTTATATACTAAAATCATTTGTCTAAAAATTTAAGTTGTTTTCAAATAAAAATTAAAATGCGTTTCTGATATGCACTGATTGTGTTGCCTCCAGCTTTTCTTTGCTCTCTATGAGTGACTGCTTAAGTCACTTGTTGAGAGGGATTATTTACTAATTATATACTTCTCATTCCTGTCATTCCATTCCCTTTAAACAGTGGTGACATCAAATATACTTCCACCCATTGAATGGGGTGTTTTCAACAACAACAAAAGTGATATACTAAAAAATTTATTCCTTAAGACTTACTGAATCATTTTGAAGCACTTTTGTGTATTTCAAAACTGTTTTATAATCTCAAGTCATTTATTAAAAGGACTTTTAAAGATAAGTCAATACCATTTCTCCTATTTTTCAGAAGTTTTTTCCTAGTTCAACTGAGTGACTTGTTTAAATAAATTTAGCAGGGGTGTAATAACTCTTCTTAGTCAGCAGGTTTGTGCTTTCTCTTTAATTTGGTTTGGGATAGTAGCACACTTTATCCTCTTTAAGAGAAGGGCACAATCTTGTAGCCTGACCTGCAAAAATGATAAGATACCAGAAAATACATGACTTCTTGCTGCCTAGCTTGTGTTGTGGTCAGACCTTTCAGCCAGAATGTGGTCTCTAGTTTGAGTCTGTACAACTTCTGGTGGTTTGGGGACCCGTTGTGACTTGGAGTTAAATCCCAAGGTAAAGAAATTTTGTCCTCCTACAACAGAGGCGTCTCCTCTGAAGATGGATCAGTCCATTTAAAAGGAAACAAGCTTAGGTCTTGGCCAAACTAGGATGTACACCAAGCAGATGGAAGTCATAGGAAGAAGTCATAGTTGCCCCATCAGGCCTTTCGTTGCTCAAACAGTATTTCACAGTTCCCTAATACTGGACATTTCAATTACCGTAAAGTAAGAAGGTACAAAGCTAAGCAACACGTAAGTTTTATTTCAGTGAACTGAGAAGTAAAGTCAAAGGCTGTCAGTTTTGGGTATGCAGAACAGAATAATGGTAGCTCTGCAAAACCAAATAATTCTTTAAAGCAGTGGTTCTCAGCAAGGCACAGTGACTTGCACCTATAGTGCCAGCATTTTGGGAGGCCAAGGCAGGAGGATTGCTTGAGGCCAGGCGTTCTGAGACCAACCTGGGTAACATAGTGAGACTGTGTCTCTACAAAAAGTTTAAAAATTAGCTGGGCATGGTAGTGTGTGCCTGTAGTCCCAGCTACTTGGGTGGCTAGCCGGAAGTGTATCTTGAGCCCAGGAAGTTGAGGTTGCAATGAGGCAAGATCATGCCATTTCGTTCTAGCCTGGGTGAGAGTGAGACCCTGTCTCAAAAGAATTTTTTTTTTTTCCTGTTAAACATTAAAGCAGTGGTTCTCAACCAGGGATGATTTTGTCCCCCAGGGGATGTTTGGCAATGTCTGAAGATATTTTTGGTTGTCTCAACTAGGGAATGTTACTGGAATCTAACAGGTGGATGTCAGAGATGCTGCTAAACCTCTTACAATGAACAAGCCAGCCTCCCACAACAGAAAAATGTCAGTAATGTCAAGGTTTCCACTCACCATGGAGTCTTGATTTTGATGACTCACAGACAAGGAATGGTGTGGTTTAGGATGGTTTGTACCAGCCTGCCCACTTTTAACCTCTACCACAGTTTCCTAAGGGCAGGCATGCTCTTGAAAAGTCAATGGTTTTAAAGTAGGCGAAAAGTTTATTCCAGGTAACATGTTTTTGCCTAATGGAGGAGGGTACTTTTCAGTGATGTCTCGTAGGAAATTGAGACCATGGTTTATAGTAAAACTATGCCTTTAACCCACTGAAGTAAAAATACAGGTGCTCATAATTCTAACTACATAGGAGGGGATTCCAGAATCCCTTAAGAATCTTCCTAAAAAAACTAATTTGGCAGTGAATTACAAAGCAATGGATGGGTAATTCTGAGGAATCTCAGGCTCTGTGTCCATTATTTAAGTATTTAATTGCCTTGTCTCAACTCCTGCCAGTTATAAAGGGTCAATATTGGTGGTAACTTTAGTAACTTACATTGAGGATTACATGTAAAATTCATAGAACAGTGTTGGAACATATAAAAGCATAATAATAGTTATTAGTTGACAGTGGTAGTCATGGATACAACAGTAGTAGTAGCAAATGGTACCACTCTTACTCATTTACCATGGCAGTTCCAGAATAGGTTTATCTGGTATTTGGTTTGCTACCCAGAGGTTCTGCCATCATGACCCCTGGTAGTGATTATGACTTGGGGGAAGGGGTGTTAGGGGAGGAGGAGCATCTCCTTTTTATTACATCCCATGATTTTTCCACTCAGCCCTCTTTGCTAGGAGGCCACCCTAGATTAAAAGTCTGTCCTGTTGTGTCCGCTTGCTTTGCCTTTTTTGGTTACATGAGTGGGGTGAATATGGCCAATGAAGGAATAAGGCTGTGGCCCCCAGGCCTTTACAGATAAAATGTGTTTGAGCTATGGATGGACAGAGTTTAGGCCACTCCCTGGCATATAGATTAATATTCAGTGGGTGCCAGCTGCTATTATTAACAAAACGCCAGTGTTTAGGCTAGGAAAGGAGTTAAAACTGTTTTAGGATAGAGATAATAAGTTTGTAATAATTCCACTGTGATCTCTGTCACAGAACTTCCCTATGAGGTAGATAATGTTATTTTTACAAATGAGAAGACTGAGGTTTTGAAAGCTTGAGCAGAATTTTCAAGGTTAACCGGGAGAGGATGGTACTGGATATAAACTGTGAAGATGTTTGATTGTAAAGGCCATGGCTTGGTGTACTTCCTTGTGGACAGGGCCTATGAATTTTTTTTTTTTTTTTTGAGATGGAGTCTCACTCTTCCCCAGGCTGGAGTGCAGTGGCATGATCTTGGCTCACTGCAGCCTCCGCCTCCTGGGTTCAAGCAATTCTCCTGCCTCAGCCTTCCGATGTAGCTGGGATTATGGGCGTGCGCCACCATGCCCAGCTAATTTTGTATTTTTTTTAGTGGAGACGGGGTTTCACCATGTTGGTCAGGCTTGTCTGGAACTCCTGACCTCAAGTGATCCACCCGCCTCAGTCTCCCAAAGTGCTAGGATTACAGGCGTGAGCCACCGCGCCCAGCCGTGCCTATGACTTTCAATACAGTTACTGAATGAGTGAAAGGGTGAATGTTAAGAAACAATTCCTATATCGTTTGTTATGAATGAATAGGTTTGGTTTGGTTTTTCTAATAGTATTTTTCACTTTGTCTCCCTAGTATGTTTTTTAGTTTTGATTTTAACTTTAGGTGTAAGTAGCTCTTTTGGACATGCACAGCTTACTAGAAGTATCGTATTTTCCTAAACATAGCTTACCCACCACAATTACTCTCTTAGGACTGAGTTTAGGATTTTCTTTTTTAAAGCTTCCCAAGTAATTCCGAAACTGTCAGGTTTGGTCATTTAGCTCAGAGGCCCTGTGATTTCCTTGAACTTGGTCAAATCTGATCTTACCTGGCTACTTAAGTCATTACAGAAAGAAATCAAGAAATTGAGAAAAAAGGATTTATCAGAACTTGAGAAATTACTTTTGTAAATCCTAATTTACAGGAAGTGAAGTTTGCTTTATTCCAACCTTGCTAAGAAAATAAGACTGACTTGGAGGCCAGGGAAATGAATTTAAAAGCACAAAGGAAGCTTAGAGGGTGCTGGGCAATAACACCTCATCCCAGATGCTCTTTACTGTAGAGTGAGTGCCAGAAATGAAAGCGACCCAGTGGACTCAACTAGCAACACCAAGCACTTGATTGTGCAAAGTGCTGACAGGCAGGAGAGATCAAACACCAGCCCTTTCCTCAAACCTAGTCATGAAAAGACTAAGAGGTACAGTAGTCACGGCAAATGTGAGGACAAGAAGGGACACAGTAGTTCAGGTGGATGGAAGGGAATGACCAAAATGATATAAATAATTCTGGTTTAAGCTTCTACAGGTAAAAAGCTTGAAAGTTGGCACCAAGCCTGGCACAGTGGCATGCACCCGTAATCAACAGTACTTTGGGAGGCTGAGGCAGGCAGATTACTTGAGCCCAGGAGTTCGAGACCAGCCTGGACAACATGGCAAAACCCAGTCTCTATAAAAATTAAAAAATTAGCCAGGGATGGTGGCACGCACCTGTAGTCCCAGCTACTTGGGAGACTGAGGCGGGAGATCACCTGAGCCTGGGAGGGTGGGGCTGCAGTGAGCCGTGATTGCGCTGCTGCACTCCAGCCTGGGTGACAGAGTGAGACCCTTTCTCAAGAGAAAAAGTTATCATCTTGTCCTTACAACAAGAAAAATCTGGACAAATGGAAAATCAGTGACTTTTCTTGGACCCATCAGAGAATTGAGGTTGAAGGGCAAACCATCATCCTAAAGTCTGGAGAAACGGCTATCTAGAGAGAGACAGCCAAAATCTGCTTATCTGGAGCAAAAGCTACTGGAGCCATAAGCTAGTTGGAAACACTTAGATGGTAATGAATTGCTAGCAGCTGAGTGTGGGCGAGTATGAGAGTGAGAAGTCCCTGGGGATCATAGTCTTAAGAGAGGTCTCCACAGGTTCGTGAGCTTTACCTCCAAGAATCCCACCACATTCTCAGTGAAGATCTAGTAAGATCTGTGGCTCTGATGTGGAAAAGGGATCAATGTCCAAAACCTTTATTACAAAGGCTTACTCTCCAGGGTGAAAGACTGCCAGAGCCTTATCCCAATTGGCGGAAGGGCGTTCTTCCCACTCTAGCCCCTCCCCTCTAGGCTTCCTGTCTTTCTTAATTGGGGCGGGGATGGGGACTTAGTCAAGAGGGGTCAGGATTTCAAGGAAATAGACTGGAAATGCTGCAGCCAGAGAAGGGAGTAGGAGGCCAGAAAGGAAAAGCTCTACCACTGGAAAAACACTTGTGAAGCTCACAGGCCCACTAAGACATAGATTTAATCTGAAGATTATAGAATATCCCGCTTCCCACAGTTTACCACCGCACCAGTGGGATTCCAGTGTAACCGTAGTGGATTACAGCTGGAAGTCCCCCTCTGTGGAGGAGTAACTAGGGAAACCCAAAGTTAAGAGACAGGCAAAAGCAAAGACACTAGAGGAAGGTGAAACCTCTGGCACCTGTAACTGCAGCAAACATTTAACATAGTCCATCCTCTAGCCAGATTACCATGAACCTTCACACTTAAGGCCTGTCTACCTCCGTTTCTATTACCCCGTGCAACATACCTGGCTTTCAACAAAAAATTTCAAGGCATGCCAAAAAGAAAGAAAAAACAGTCTGAAGAGAGAAAGCAATCAGAACCAGAGTTGGATATGACACAGATTCCCTGTTTGATAATTACAACCT